GCCCCAAAGGACATTTCGCTTTCTTGCTCCGGGGGCTGGCCAACCTCCTACTCCATTTCAAGCTGGTCTCTTCTACCAATTAATGCCTGAGAGCAACTCATTCCACCAGGAAGCTGCCCAACCAAAGGCATCAAGCTTTATCCTCCGTGGGCTGGTAAGGCTGTCGCTGTCTCATGTTGGTTCTCTTGGCTCTGCTCCTGCCGTCTGTCATGCCGTATGCTGGGGTCTCTCTGCCAGGGTCCCAGGTTAAGGACGCACTCCACTCCTGTTTCCACATATTAGGTATCTGTCAGAGCAGTACCCCACTCTTAGTACCATATTGTGGTCTGCTTACCTAGCGCTGCTCTGACAAGAATATACCACAAATGGGATGGCCTTAACAAACAGAAGTTTATTCTTACAATTTGGAGGCTTTAGGCCCAAGTTCAAAGTGCCAGGCTCTAGGGGTTGGGTGAAAGCCCCGCAGCTTTGGGGTCCAGCTCTGCCTCCTGCTCCCGGCCCACTGGAGCTAGAGGCACTTCTTCACTCAGACAGCCGCTGGCTGCTGAGGCTGACAAACCCTAGGTTGACAAGTAAAAAGGCACAGTCCCGATGTTACCAAACCACATGGCAGGCCATGTTTAAGTCCATTGTAAGCCCCAAAGTCAGCAGAGCATGGCAGGCTGCTGAGCAATGACACGGGTACGTGCAGGGTCCAAATGTGTCATAGGCTAGAGACCATTCCCAAGGCTTCTCCTAATATCCAGGAAGCAGACCCCATACCCAAAGGCAGCTACTCAGCTGCTTGTGGTAGATCCCACCATGGAGCTGACTGCCAGTCTCATCATTGGGGAATAACTACCACCAGCTGCCCAGCCACTCAACCAGGCCCAGCCAAGATGACACACAACATAACCACCAAGGCCCTCCTCCCCTTGCCCCTCTTTCATTCCTGGCCTCTGTTAGACTGTAAGCTCTAGGAGGGCAGAAATTTTCATGCATTTTGTTTACTGCTGTATATTCCTATTGTCTCAAATGCTGTCTGGCATATAGTAGGTGCTTAGTAAATCTTGGTTGACTATCTGAATTTCTGAATGTTTATGTGATGTGGTGGAGTCTGAAGCACTGTGGGATACTAGGGGAGAGGTCAGGCATTTGGGTCTGCAGCAGATGAGGACTGAAGCTGTGGCAAGAGCCGACACAGAGCAGGAGCCTCCTGACCCTGCTTCTCCCCTTGCTCATCTTGGTGGGTGGTGCTTCTATCTGCCTGGTTACTAGGCACCCAGGGTCATCCTGGACTCTTCACCTACAGCTACATCTCACCTACAAACCAATTCCTGTATTATTGTATATGTATCTCTAAAAGCTGTCATGGCTGTGTCCACTACCACAACTTTGGCCTAATATACCATCGTTTCTCCCCATACTACAGGCAACAGCCAGGCCCCATTCTCCACATTGTTTGAATAGTCTTTCTAAAACAAAAATTACATCTTCTCCCTCACTCTTTTTTTTTTTTTTAATTTTATTGTGATTTGGGTGAACGTTTACAGAGCAAATTCATCTTCCATATAGCAGTGCAAGTTCACATACACTGTCTCATGACATTGACTAAAATTTCCCGCAATGCAACAGCTCTCCTCCCACTTCTTCCCCAAAGCCACCTCTTCCCAGTGCCCTTCCTTCCCATGCACTCCTGTCCCCCAAGCTGTCTCCCTTGCATACACAGCCCAAAGGGCATGAGACAGAGTGGTGAGCTTGCTACCCCATGGAGTGAGAGAGCTGAGTGCTTTTGGACAGGGGGATTACTGGCAGAGTGGGGTGCACCTAAGTGCACTTATCGGTTAAGAGTTTTTGTAGCACTTGCCCATGCAGGACAGCAGCCAGGCCAAGAGGCCAAGGGCCAGAGAAGTGTGCCTAAGGGCACAGCAGATGGAGACTGTCCTGATCAAAGAATTGTATCCTGAGAGTGTTCTGGAACCTGAGTTGTAGCCTATCACTTCCCTAATAAACCCTATAATCATGAGTATTGACTGAGTTCTGTGTGGCCATCGCAACCAATTATCGAACCCAACAGAGTAGTGCCATGGGAGAGACAGTTGTGTGTTCCAATTGGTAAAAAGACATGAGGGTGGTGGCATGTCTGGCCTCATAGGAATAAGCCTTGGGCTGCTGATGGTGATTCTGTCTCTTGTGAAGTTAGAGGATATCAGAAGATGTCAGATTACTCGATAAGCTAGGAAAACACAGGCTTAGCTGTGCTTACTTGTTACTCTGTAGTGAACAATTTCACATCAAAGATTCTGCTTCTAGGTATGGCAGGCATCTGTCTCTCTCCCAACCCCACAGCACCTTCCTACAGAATCAAAGCTTCTATTCAAATTTATAATCCCAAACGAAGATGGTGTACCTATAGTAAGAGAGGTAAGCATGGGCTTCCTTTTGTTTAGCACACAGAAGCCTGTGCCTGGCTTGCTTATTGGGTAATCCGCTCCTGCCTGCGGGCCTCGGTTCAGGACCCAGACGGTTCAGGACCCTGACGAAGTGACCCCTCCTGGGAGAAGCCTTCTCTGACTTCGCTTCCTCTTCTGGCTCTATGAGCCTCACCTCATGCACTCTTATTACTGACAGTTCAGTACTTGCTTGGGAGCGCCTGAAGGACGTAAATGCAAGGTATCTGTGTGCGTCACCGCGGCACCCAGGCCCCGCTCAGTTAGAGAAGATGGCTAGAGAGATGGCTAGATAGCCCCAAGGCAGTAGAAAGGGCGCAGGAGCCAGCCGCAGAATCCAAAGTGGGCGTGTAAAGCTTGTTGCGCTACGTCAGCGAGGGTCGGACCGCCCTTTTCGGAGGAGGAGCCCGGGGTCCCGCACAGCCCGGCCTGGGAGTACGCAGCAGACGGCCCATGTCCCCACCAGAGGGCGCTAAGCGCTCTGCACCTGTGGGCCTGCTGGGGGTCGTAGGGCTGAGTCTCAGCCGGCGTCCCCCGGCGCTCTTCCTTTCTGCATCTGCAGTCGGAGCGGAAGAGGCGGGGACACCGGCGACGCCAAGAAGTGCCTGGTCCACAGTCCGCGCCCCCTGGGAGGAAAGCCGGCTCTTTTGGGCGCAGGCGCGCCGCCCCGGGCCGGCAGGGGCGGGGCCTGGACGGGTCGAGGGGCGGAGCCAAGCCCAGGGCCCGCCTCCAGCAGGTCTTGTGCGCCGCGGAGCGCCTGGCACCCAGGCAGTTCTGGTGGTTTGAGGTGAGCATGGGGTGTAGAGGGGTCAGGGAGGCTTCTCTCGAGGTCAGGTCGTCGCTCTGACCGTGGGTCCGTCTGTCCTGCCGTCCATATCCGGCCGCCTCCGCGGAGAATGGGTGAACAAAGGGAGAGGGCGGTTCTGAGGCCCCTGAGGGAATCCAGGGTCCCAGGTACCCCGCCCCGCCCGCTGACACTTTCGGTTTCTTTTCGAGTCAGAGGGGCCGCCCACGAGACCCTGGGCCGGTGCCGGGCACAGCTGCCTGTCCGCGTTTGCCTGTCGGTCTCTGTGTCTGTCTCTCTGTCTATCTGGCTGTCTCCGAGCCTGCCTCCACTTTTAAAACTAAGCAGTCCGGACGCCGACATCCCTTGGACCCCTGCCCCTGTCCCATGGCAGGTAAGTGGGTGCAAGGCTGGAGGTCTCCGTTATCCCCCCACACACACCCCACGGACTTGGACTCAGGAGCCGGGTATCGAACACATCCTCCGGGAATGTGCTCAGACTGGCTACGTGGGCCCCTCCCTTCCTCCCGGGAGCCGCCGCCTCTGCCCCATTTTTCCCACGACTTGAACCCCGCAGTCTCGCGGCCCGGGGTCTGAGAAAAGGGGCTGAGGCTGCAGGGCCCTTTCTGATCTTGATCCCTATTTCCAACAGGCTACTTGCCCCCTAAAGGCTATGCCCCTTCGCCTCCACCTCCCTACCCTGTGAACGCCGGGTACCCAGAGCCGGCGCTGCATCCTGGGCCCGGGCAGGCGCCGGTGCCCGCCCAAGTGCCGGTGCCCGCCCAAGTGCCCAGCCCTGCTCCAGGCTTCGCTCTCTTCCCCTCGCCCGGCCCTGTGGCCCCTGGGGCTGCTGCCCCCTTCTTGCCACTGCCAGGGGTGCCTTCTGGCCTCGAATTCCTGGTGCAGGTAAGTGGGAGAGAGTGAGGGGTGACAGGGAGCCAGGAGTCCAGGCCAACTAGCTAACATCGTCAGTGCCCCTACTCTCTCATTCTAGATCGACCAGATCTTGATTCATCAGAAGGTTGAGCGAGTGGAAGGTGAGTGTGGCGGCGGTGGAGGAGGTTGGGTCTCGTGATGTGGGAGATGATGGTGGGCCGGCGTTGTCTCCTGAGCCTCAAAGGGACTCGTGTAACTCCCCGGCAGCTCTCCTAGGCTGGGAAGCTTGTAACCAGTACGAACTGCGCTCCGGGGCAGGGCAGCCCCTGGGCCAGGCGGCCGAGGACAGCAACTGCTGCGCCCGCCTGTGCTGTGGCGCCCGCCGGCCTCTGCGTGTCCGCCTGGTGGACCCTGGGGACCGTGAAGTGCTCCGCCTGCTCCGCCCTCTCCACTGTGGCTGCAGCTGCTGCCCCTGCGGCCTCCAGGAGGTGGGTGGGCAGGGGTGGGGCAGAGGAGAGGCCAGGGTAGGGGGACCCGGCTGTGATGGGGCGGGGTCAGGGAGAGGGCGTGGCTTGAGTATGCAGAGACTTGTGGGGATGGGAGGGTTGAGTGAGAGGGCTGGGTAGACAAGAGGGCAGAACCAGGGCAGGTGGGAGCTTGCACCAGAGAACCCTGGCTTGGAAGTGACCCTGTCTGCCTCCCACCCCAGATGGAAGTACAGGCTCCACCAGGCACCACCATTGGCCACGTGCTACAGACTTGGCATCCCTTCCTCCCCAAGTTCTCCATCCAGGATGCGGATCGTCAGACAGTCCTGCGAGTGGTGGGGCCCTGCTGGACCTGTGGCTGTGGCACAGACACTAACTTTGAGGTATCAGGAAGGGGAGATTCCTGGGACCTTCATAAACTGAGATGGCAACTTCCATGATCCAAGATGGCAGCCTCCATGAGGCAGGATGGCCAATACTAACTTACGTCAAGACTTTGAGGTCATGAGTCCAAATTCACAGTGATTCTTACATTTTCAGTTTTCCTCTCTCTATTCTGAAATAGAATGGCTCAGTAGTCTTATAAAGGCATGTCAAAGAGAGTTTCATCCTAAGAACTAGTTCTGATTGTTAGCTACAGCAGCTTTTGTGTTGATGAAAATCTGAGGCCAGCCTGGATTTGGTGGAAAAGATGATTTTGAGTCTATTGTACGCTGGGCCCATGTGGCTGTGGTGTATTGTGTGAGCCTGGGCCTGGAGACAAGCACTAATTTGATTCATTAGCATCCTGTGGCTTGCCCCACCAATCTAGAAGGCCAAATGGCCCTTCCAACCTGGAATCCAGGTGATACCCTTCCCACCATGCGTTCCTGTCACCAACATGGAGCCTGGAGACCCCAAGTGGTGACAGTTTCAGGGTGAGGCCTGGGAAGCACTTTGGTTTCTAGAAGGGAAAGGTACCCCACAGACCCTTGAGTTCTTTAAGGGATAATTACCTTAAAGATAAGGGAGAGGCAACAGGTATAATCCAGCTGACTTTCCAAAGCTTCTGATGAGGTGCCTTACCTACCTAAGGTTACTTTCAAAAATTGAGTCACCTTAGTACCTGGGAGAAGTTCTGTAAGGGGAACTGAGTGATCTCTGCATGGGAGTGTGTTAACTGTGGGTTCTTGGTAGGACCAGTCTCCCTTTAACATAATTATGAGTGGTCCATATTTGAGGTTACACCCTTGGACTGGCTGGGATAGGCCCTGCCCAACCTGGGACTGGGCTGCCTAAAGTGCCCCACAGCTATAGGACAATGGGGACAGAGGATAGAAAGGACACAGAGGGAACTCATCTTAGTTAGTTCTAGTCACTCAAGGTTAAGCAAAGGAAAAGGATCAGGGAGTCATGAATTTCCACCCACATTGGCAGGACTTCTTGCTGCTGGGTGCAGAGAAGCCAATGGAAATCATAGTCCTCAGAGGCCACTTACTGCAACTTACTGCAGCCTTCTTGTCTCTCCCAGTAGATGGACTTGGATCTCCTCTACATGAAGTTTGCATGCAGTGGTGCTGGCCAGGGTCCTCCCTCGATTTTCAAATTAGAGAAAAGCCATCTCCTTGGGCAGATATGGAGTCCCTGAGTGGTACAGGTGGTTAACACGGTCAGCTGTTAACAGAAAGGATAGAGGTTGGGGTCCATCCAGAGGTGCCTTGGAAGAAAGGCCTGGTTGTCTACCTCCAAACAATCAGCCCCTGAAAACTCTATGGACACAGTTGTACTCTGCTACACATGGGGTCACCATGAGTCAGTCAACTCCATGGCAGCTGGTTTGGTTTTAAGGGTGGGCAGTCACAGCCGTCCAAGAGCCTGGTTGGCTGGTGGAGTGCAGACGGGATTGCAGCAGTCTCTTTCGCCAGGCACCTCTGTGCAGGACACAGGCTGCACCAACCATGGGTAGCAGGGACATTGGAAACAAAAGCAAACCTAGCAACCAGCCATACACTAAGGGGATTAGACTATATCATGTTTCTATTTCCCCCACCACTGATGCTGTCATGTCACGTATGGCCTTTGGAGAGCATAGACCCAAGTTGGAATTCCTGTTTCCCATATACTGAAATTTTGACCTAGGGTGCCTGTTTCCCCAGTTGTCACATGGAAACCCAAGGTCGTTAGGAGGATTCAGTGAGATAATGTATGTCTAGTGCCTGAAAGGTGCTTTCTCTATTTTTTTGCTTTGTTTAGTCTGCCACAGGTCTAAAGTTAAGGTTCATGCACACTTGGTTAAGAGTGTACCTGTGGTTTTTATGTTTCCATGGGGGAATTCTCAACATCCCTGAAGTACCTCTGAGGACTGGTGACTGAGACAGGCCTTCCCTGTCTTTTTAGCACCTGGTAGGGCACTACTTGTGTGGTGCAAACAGTTAAGCCCTCGATTACTAACTGGAGGGTCGGCAGTTTGAACGCACACGGAGGTGCCTCAGAACAGAGGCCTGGCAACCTGCTAAGGCCACAGCCTTGAAAACCTCGTGGAGCAGTTCCGCTCTGCCACACGTGGGACTGCTGCATCAAAACCGACTCGACAGCAACGGGTTTGGTTTGCTCAGGGCCCGTCGGGTCCTTGCCTGACTTGTGCTGAGGGCTGAAAGGGTTCACGTGTACTTCCACTTGCAGCAAACTTGTGAGGTTGTATTTTCAAATCCCCGTTTTCCAGAGGAGATTGAGGCTGCAATTTAGCAAAAGCCAGGTCTCTTGAGTCCCAGTCTAGGGTGCTGTCCTTCACTCCATGTAAACTTCCCAGGTTCAGGGATGTTTAGATTAAGTTGAAGGCTGCCTGACCCCTAAGGGTATTGAGGGGACCTGTGAATTTTTCTGCACTTCTGTTAAGGCTGCCACTAGCCCATACAGTGTTTCTACTCAACTAGAAAAGTCCCCTTTAAGAGACTTCCTGCCACATACCAGAAAATTTTCATAATAAATGTACAGGTCTACAGTGTGAATGGTGTTCCTTCACATGTGGTACTCTTGTACAGTGTATAACCAGCACGCTGACACATGGTGCTTGTGGGCGTAAGACTGGGGGCAGGTGCGATTAGTCACCTCCTCCCCAGATGGGTCTTCCCTCCCACCTGGCAGGTGAAAACCCGGGATGAGTCTCGCAGTGTGGGCCGCATCAGCAAGCAGTGGGGCGGCTTGCTCCGAGAGACTCTCACGGATGCGGATGACTTCGGCCTACAGTTCCCGATGGATCTGGATGTGAAGGCGAAGGCTGTGCTGCTGGGAGCCACTTTCCTCATTGTGAGTGGCTGCCTCCGCCCCTCCACTCTTTTCCTTCTCATGTGGAGCTCTGCACACTTCCTGGTCTCCTGCTAGGAGGGTTGGTGTGAGGGGCAGAGTTTTAGGGGCTTGGGGTACAGACTTGAGTTGTGATAGCTGAGCCCAGCTGGCTCTCCTGCTGACACTGGCCTCCCCACAGGACTACATGTTCTTCGAGAAGCAAGGCGGTGCTGGGCCCTCTGCCATCACCAGCTAGAGGACGCTTCAGGGTGAGGAGACCATCCCCTCAAACAGAATTCAAGATGGTCACCTGCCTGGCTTGGCCCCTCCTCAGAGGCAGCCTCTTTCTTCCGTGTACACAGCTGGGGACAGATGGGGTACGTGAGAGGCTGGGGACCAAGTGCACCATCCCTGCCCTACTCTCTGGCCTCTTTCACCTATGGCCCCTGCAGAAGGATATGTACGAGAGCTCTTCTCCTGCTACCTCCCACCACTCTTGGCGCACAGGCTAATGGCTTTCAAATCTCCTTACCTATCCCCTCCCACCTTTGCTCCAGAAGAGGCCTTTGGAATCCAAGACTTTGGGGTGTTATGACAGAGCTGGGATGGAGGATGGTAAACTGTACCAAAGAACAGCAGACATGGCCATCCCTCCCCTGCGTCAGCTTGGCCAATCTGTTCAGTCTCAGACTATGGCACTTTGAGGGATCCCTGCCTCCCCGTCAACAGCTGTAGGGGCTGGGCCCTAGTGCCAACCTCCTCTCCCCCTTGGGCCCTGCCCACAGCTGGTGCTTGCTGCAGCTTCCGGTGCCTTATTTAACCACCCCTTCCTTCCCTTGCCCTAAGGAAGGAGGCTGCATCTTTGTATGTTATATTCATATAAACTTTGTAACTTTTTGGACATTATTAGATGTATGTAATGGGGGGAGGGGCAGGAGAAAGAGTTGGGGTGGAAAGAAAGAAAGGGGAATACGATGGCTGGGGTGGAAGTTGGCCCTTCTCATAATACATGCTACCAGGATCAGCTGTCTCTGAGTCCAAGAGAGCAGCTTTCGTCAACACCACGGTCCTGGACCAAGCCAAGGCACTTTAAGCCACCAAGTTCCAAAAGTCGCTATGACTGCCTCTGTCATCCAAGATGGCAGCTCCCACAGAGGCCAGAGAAAATGGCCATTCAAGATGGCGGTTCCTGTGGTCCTCCATGACCACCTGACTGTTCTCCGTAGTAGAAGCTTCCTCTGTGTATGATGTGTAGCAGCTCTGTTCTTTGAAGTCCTCCTCTCGTTTGGCAGCTGTGGGCGGAGTGGACTAGATCCTGCTGCGGCCCAGCCAAGGGAGCCTGAGCCCTGAGAGGCCAGGGGGCAGGGTAAAGAGGAGGTGGTCAGTGCTGACTCCGGGCTGTAGGACCTGCCTGCAGCACGATCTCCCCGGGGAGGGGGAACCTTGTTGTGCTTGGCCCCACACGGCCAGGCACCAAGGGGCCCAGGCTTTCCATACACGTGTCCTCTCCCAAGGGAGCAGGGCTCAGGACCGAGCCAGGACGTAGCGGCTTGCAGCCGAGAGGTCCCACTGGTAATGCTCCAGGATGCGCCGGCAGTCAGCCCTGGAGCGGCTGCTGAGGTGGAATAGCTGGTCGACCTGGGGCAGCAGGAGGGAGAGCAGGATGAGCTGGCTGCCTGAGGACGGCGTCAGTGGAGGGGGCAGCTAGGAGAAGGGTCTACCTTGAGGTTCCTAATAGCGGAAACCACATCTCCCCCAGTGGCTCTCAGTGCAGCCTGACACTCCTGGTGGGTAACTCCATGCACACTGAACTCCACCTTTTAGGGGAGAAAGCCCCATCAGGCCTCTGCTCCAGCCTGTAGCCCCTTGTGGACATCAGGCCACTTCAGGGAGATCTCACCTCCATAACCCTCCTCTGTAACTCAGGGTCAGACAGGAGGCCTCCACAAGGCACAGTGGCTTTGCTGGCTCCAGGTCCTCCCATGGGGTGACTGGGGTGGAGTTCTCTTTTAGGCCAGGGGGGCCGCTCCCTGGAGGGCTGACTGGACGGTGAGGAAGAGCTGGAGGCAAAGGGTGGGCGGGGTGGTAGGACTGGAGGCCCTTGGGGCACAGCTCGGGCATGTCGAAGTTCAGGAGGACTCGAACCACCTCCTGTGGGACGAGGGCCTAGGGACAGAACCGACTCCAGGCTCTTGGAGATGCCTGCACGGTTGAGAAGGGAATAACTTGAGATGGAGCCCAGCAGCCAGCGCCTGCCTTCCTCAGGTCTGCTGTCTCCCCAGCCCTCTCTTTTTCTGTGCTGAGCTGGAGGGTTCTGTAGGCACTCAGATGAGCTACCCAGCCTGCTCTCGAGGTGGTCCGTGTGTCCGGTGGGACAATAAGACGAGCAGAACAGACATCAAGGCTCAGACAGAGGAGGGCCCATCTGACCCTGAGTGGGAGATGCTTTCAGCTGGGGAAGGAGGGGGACTTCATAGCTCTTAAGATCTTGAAGCAGAGCTAACAAGCCACAGGAAGCATTTAAGGGAAGACAGCATATATGGGGAAAACATACAGAGAGGCATTGCTTCAGGGCAGTAAGTGGAAGCAGAGAGTTGTTCTTGATCTCAGAGTCCTGGAGGCCTGTCCCCGCCATGTACTCACCTTTCATCCTGGGCAGGGGCATGTCCCTTCTGTGGCCCTGAGCTGGAGGTGGATCCTGAAGCTTTGCCTTTGCTCTTTCCCTATGGGAGAAGGATCCAGTCTGTTGTCCACCCTGCTCACTCTTCACACCTCCAGCATATTAGTGTCCCCTCTGGGTTCCCAGGGAGGCCAGGACCTAGGCTGGAAGCTCCGGTTGGGAGGTCAGTGCAGCCTCTCATCTGCCCCCTCCTCAAGAGACCCAGCAACCCACGAAGTTGCTGGACCTGGTTCCCCTGGTCCAGTTTAGGCTCTCCTTTTCAGGTCCTTACCCACTGGGGCTACCCCGGCATCGCTCCCCTCGGGCAGGGGAGCCTCTGTGGACTGGGCGGGTGGCTGGCCAGTCTGCCAGTGTCACTGCGGAGGCTGGGAAGCTGCCTACTTTGAACGTTTTGCCATTCTGGCCCTTCCAGGTGGTGGAATCGGGGCTGTGGGAAGAGGGGCTTGTGAAGGGGGATGGGGTCCAGCCCACATTCAGCTCCTGAAACTGTGTGCCATAGAGCTGCATGTGTCTGTGGGAAGGGAAGCCTTTTTCCCACTAACACAAAGGACTGTGTGGGCCAGGGATGGCTCCAGCAGGGAGGCCAGGGAGGCTCTCAGGGCCCAGGGGTTCAGAGAACAGACAGGATCAAGGTTCAAAGAGCTGGGAGGTGCAGAGAGAAGACCAGGCATCAGTTGGGAGGGGTCCTCCTGGGCATGCTCGGTAGACAAGGTCATCACCTGCCCTCGATGATAGTAATGGGGTCACCAAGCTCCATCCTCAGGGCACCTGGCTCCATAACTTCCCTCACACAGTGTCCCTCAGGAGGCTGGGCCTGGGGACACAGGAGGAAACAGGGTTGGGCTTGCAGCCTGGGTCAGAAGGGTAATGTTATGAGGAGCAGGGAGGAAAGGAACCCTCCCGTTGGTGCATCTACCAGTCAAATACCTGTACCAGGCTTGTCCTCTGTTAGACCCAGGGTAGGACTGTCCCTGTCCCCCAGAATTTAGGCCAGTGGAGGAGACAGACACAGATTCCATGCCAAGCTAGACACAGCCCAGGGGTCAGGGAAAAACCTGTTCCTACCTAAAGGGACCAAGGGGACCCTAGGCAAGTCACTTAAACTATCAGTGCTTCAACTGTCCTATCTGTAAAATGGAGATGATGATAATTACTTCATTGGGTTGATGTTGAGTATCAAATGAGGTCCATGTGAAACAGTATGGATCTCACACAGATCGACTGCTGTGCGTTCGCTGTTAAGTTAATACGCCTCACAAAGCCCTCCAGGGCACGGCCACTTCTCCCTCTGCAGCCTCATTACTTGTATTTCCCCCTCCCACGCCCGAACTTCTCTTCCTCTGCCTGTCAAACACCCACCTCCCCCTACTGCTCTCTCCTTTGTGCTGCCCTTCAGTCTACATCCATGGAAGCCCCAAGCTACTTCCCCAAGCTCTGAGCTCCCCAAAGGTAGGACTGAATTGTTTTTGTTCAGAGCTAGGTCCCAGCGTCCCACACAGGAGTCAGTATGTGTGTCCTGTGCATAGAGCCCTGGGAGAGAGAACAAAGGAAAGAGAGACTACATTGGGGAAGGCGGGTGTCCCCACCTCTTTGAGCAGCCCCTCCAGGTAGGAAAAGCTGGGCCGGTCAGCAGGGTGGGACGCCCAGCAGCGCAGGGCGAGGGTGTAGAGGGCCCTGGAGCACAGCGGTGGCCTAGGCAGCCGGGCACGCTCCTTCTCCAGTTGATGAAGGATGAGGTAGGGTGGAATGCCAGCCCAGGGCTCCTCACCCCCAGTGAACATCTCCCATAGTGTCACCCCAAACATCCACACGTCCGAGGCAGAAGAGAAGGCTCCATGGCGCAGGCTCTCTGGGGCACACCTGTGGAAATGGTGCTGAAGGGGGCTGGATGTGAGCCCCTCAGGGTTCCCACCTCCCACCAAGTACCCCCTCAGTGCTCCCAGCATCCTCAGAAGTCTTCCTTTCCAAGTCCTTCCTGATCTGAGCCTCTTGTTCCAGCGTCCCTCAGAGGACTTCCCATTCCAGCCCTCTCTGAACCCCCTTAGCTCCTGCCCTCCTGCCCCACCCCCCTTCACGCAGCTGCGTCTGTTGCTCTGCTCCTCACCAGGCATAGGGGATGGGGCGGGGCCCGCCCATGACATAGCGCCCCCCGGCGCCACCTAGTGGTCGCACCAGCCCAAAATCAGCCACCTTGATGGCTCGTGGTGAGGCCAGCAGCAGGTTGCGTGTAGCTAGGTCTCGATGCACCAGCCCACGGCTCCCCAAGTAAGCCATGGCCCCTGCCAGCTGCCGCAAGAAGAGGCAGAGCAGGGACACAGGCAATGGGGGTGTAGGGGCCGGGGCTGTGAGGCGCGCGTGCAGGGAGCCCAGCGGTGCCAGTTCCATCACCTGTGGTAACACAGCACTGCCTGAGCTGTCGTCCAGACCCACAGGACTTCAGCCTCCTATGAAACGCCAGCCAGCTCCAGGCTGGGGGGGAACCGGAGTCTGGCTCGACTCACCATCTGCAGAGGCTGGCCCAGCACGAGACCGTGTAGACGCAGCACGTGTGGGTGCTCCAACTTCATCATGACTGACACCTCTCGCAGGAAGTCCCCCAGCTCAGCTCCCACGGGCCCTTCAGGACCCACCCGGAGGGACTTGACAGCCACTGGGACCTGGGAGGGGACACCATCAGGCATGTTGGGGTATGGCTTTGCCAAGGCCAGGGCAGAGAGGGCACGCAAAACAGAGGAGCAGCTGGCTCAAGCACCCCGGGGACAATGGTTCCCTGGACACTCACGCTCTGGCCACTGGGCAGCATCCACAGCCCCCGGTGTACCACGCCGAAGCAGCCAGAGCCCAGCCGCTCCCCTCTGCACACAGCCCCCTCTGGGATCAGACACTTGAGTCCCCCCTCCGGTTCAAGGGGACACGGAGGACTGTCTGAAGGTGGAGTAGTTTCCTTCTGCTCAGAGCCAAAACCCCCAAGGATCTGAAACAGGAGTGAGAAATCAGAGTACACAGAACTGACAAACCCCTCTGGCCACTCAGCCCCACCCCGTCCGCCGGGCCTAAGCTGGCCCTTGAAGTGCCCTCCTCCCCACCAAACACACACACCTTGTAGACCCAGTTCTTGGACTTGAGCCCAGAACAGTGCCTCTTCAGAGCTTCAGCCAGTCTGCGCTGGGCTGGGAGATACCAGAATCAGAGGACTGGGGTGGAGGGTCAGGGTGCTGAAGGATTTACGGATCAGAAGCGGGCTAGAATGGGGGGGTGCTGGCAACTGCAGTGGGCAGGAAGACTAGGTCTGCAAGGCAGGGATTCCTCACCAGGCCGGCCCATGCCAATGCCGTCCAGGTCCTCGGGCCTTACAAAGTCGAAGTGCTCTGGCCGAGTGACATTAAGCTCCTCAAGAATGGGTCGATAAAACTGGGCCAGCTGGATGTCCCGGAGGAGCCGCAGCAGCCATAGGGAGTTCACCTCAGGGAGCATGTCTGGAAGAGGGACCCCTAAAGATGACGGCACTCTCCTTCAGAGACATAGTCCAGGGAGGGCTTAAGACATCCAGATACCAGAGACACAGCCCCCAGCTCAAACTCCAGCTCATCAGAAACATTCAGGGGCAGAGAGAGGGACATAAGAGAGACAGCCAGGAACCCCGACACTCACACACACAAAGCCCAGGAAGAATGCGCTGCACACCCAAGACCTCAAGGCAGTCCCCCCTCACCACTACCTGTGGAACCAGCTCTCCTCACATCCGAAATTTTAGTCCACTGTCTGGATGGTACGAATGGTTAAGCGCTCAGCTGCCAGAGAAAGGGTGAAGGTTTGAGTCCACTCACAAGCTCCTCAGAAGAAAGGCCTGGTGGTCTATTTCCAAAAAATCAGCCCTTAAAAACCCTACAGGATGGACACAGGGAAGAGGTAACTATAGGGAGGAAGTGGGAGGGGAGATGTTGCATTTGTGGTAAATTGTGGTCAATGTCATGAGACAAAGTGTATGTGAACTGCTGTATGGCAAGTATATTTGCTCTGTAAATTTTCACCCAAATCACAAAGAAAACCCTACAGACCACAGTCCTACTCTGACATGTGGATTCATCACGAGGCAGGATCAACTCGAGACAACTGGTTTGTGATTTGCCTGCCTAAGCCACAGACTCAGGTACATTGCCCTCCTCATCTGAGGTAAGTATGGCACGCTGTTACTTTACCCCTATGACACCCAGATACCCTACCCTTTTAGACCTGAGCTACCCAGGTACACCACTGTACCCATTCACTCCTGTATTCTTTGAGATACCTCCCCTCCTCATATGTGAACCAGGAGCCCTGAAGAAATCCAGGTGTGCTAACCCAACCACACCTCAGGCATGCAGGTCTACACACACACATCCACACAGGAGGCATGAAGATACACTGCCTCCCACACACAGATATGCTGCCACATACATGTTACGAGACATATGGCTGCCATGAAACCTGTGAGAGCCGGAACTCAGTAAGACTGCCTTGTTTTACCAGGTTTCACAAGTTACCTGCCTGTGACAGGGTTCAGTCTCCCCATTTTTCTATTAGCAGAAAATATTTGAGTTTTCCCTGACAGGTTTCTGCCTTCACAGGTTCCAGCTTTCACACGTTTTACTGTATATAGCTAAGGATGCCTGAGACACCCAGGTACACCGCCCCTCAAATCTGACACACCCCAGGATGCTGCGACAAAAGCCCCAGCTTTACTGCTCACACACCCTCGGGCATACCTGTACTTGATTCACGGCAGATCACTGCCCACATATCCGAGATGACAAGGTCCACGTAAACACACAAGAAAACAAGATACAGTATCCACACACACCTGCACTACGCAGGTGCTCCCTCCTCAGAGTGGTGTCCACTCAGAGTGGAGGCTAACCGCCTCTTAGACTCCAGGGCCAACCAATGCAACATTTGAAATCAAATCAGGCATTTGTGATGACCCACTAAGTGCAAGGCTGCCCTAGGCTCCAGAATTGCCCACAGAGCCACCCTCCGTTGCTGGGTGCACAGTCCCATCCACACCCTCTGGAGCTCAGTTCCAGGTGTACAGAGCCCTGCCCGCACACCTGAGTCACTCCTGTAGCTTGGCTTCAAGGCAGCTCCACCAACCTTTATTAAATAAGGCTCTAGGCTCTCTGGGTACTGGCCACCTGCACACCCGCACTCTGACACCTGGACTTCTTCACACTCTCTCCCGCTTTAGCTAAGTGAGCAGCTGAGCGAAGGACGCTGGGCCGAGATAAAAACCGGGAGGTGGGCAGGAACAGGCGCGAAAAGAGGGGCGAGCTCAGGGGAGGGGAGACCCCGCACCGCAAGGCGAGAAGGGGAAGAAATGCTGCCGCGGAAGGAAGGACCCGAGAAGGGTGCAGGCATCGAAAGGCCCAGCCCTCGCGGATGCACTTCCAGCGACGGCGGCTCGGCCGCGAGCCCCGGCCGCCCTGCCGACCCAAGACACTCACCTGGCAAAGGCGGAAGTGGCAGCTTCGGAGCCGCACCGCTGCCAGGACTAAATCCTGAGGAGGGCGGGTGGGCGGGGCAGCAGGCCGCCGGGGGCGGAGCCTGGCGGCGGGCGGGGGCCCTCCTTCCTCCAGGGCAACTGGCCCCTAAACCAAAATCAAACCAAACCCGCTGCAGTCGTGTCGGATGCGACTCACTCACTTGGGTTACCCAAGCGGTATCACTAGGGAAGTAGATTGCCCAACCTTCTTTCCGAGCAGTGGCTGATGGGTTTGAACCGCCAGCCTTCTGGTTAGCAGTGAGGTAGTGCCTTAAGCACTGGCCCGTAGACCAAGAGAAACCGCCCCTCCCCTTCTCCCTGTTGGCCTTCCTTTCCTCTGCAACCTTCTCCAAAGAACTTTGCACCTCTTCCCAGACTTTGCTCCTCAGTCTTCTATGCCATGTCCCCCTCTTCAAATCCTTCACCTAGCTCAACCAGAACCCTCCCCACTAAATGAAGAAGCAGCTGACACACAGAGACAGACAGACAGACAGACAGAAAGACGTGGTGAGGGGAGTAAGAGAGAAAGAGAGGTAGTTTGGGTGGTGAGAGAGATACTTTGGGTGGTGCGAACAGTTAACAAGCTTGGCTGCCAAGTGAAAGTCTGCAGGTTCAGAACCACCCAGGAGTACCTCCAAAGAAAGGCCTGGTGATCCAAAGAATCAGCCATTGGAAACCCCATGGAGCACAGCTTTACTCAGTTTTACTGTGACACACATGGGTCTCCATGACTTGGAGTCAATTCCAAGGCAACTGGGTGTTTAGATGTTCGGCCCCTCTTTTATCTTTGGCGTGGGAAAAAACTTCATGGAATTGTTGTTATGTTAAGTGCCGTCGAGTCGTTTCCGACTCATAGCGACCCCATGCACAGCAGAACGAAACACTGCCCCATCCCGCGCCAGCCCCACAATCCCTGCTATACTTGAGCCCATCATCGCAGCCACCGTATCAATCCATCTCGTTGAAGGCCTCCCCCTCTTTCGTCGACCCTCCACCCTACCAAGCATGACATCCTTCTCCAGGGAATGGTCCCTTCTTACAACATGACCAAAATAGGTGAGACGAAGTCTGGCCATTCTTGCTTCCAAGGAGCATTCTGGCTGCACTTCCTCCAGGACAGATCTGTTAGTTCTTTTAGCAGTCCACGGTACTTTCAGCATTCTCCGCCAGCACCACAACTCAAAAGCATCAACTCTTCTTCGGTCTTCCTTATTCATTGTCCAAATTGTCTAATTCATGGAATTAGAGGCCTCTTTATTTCTCTCCTTCTTTTAGACAGAGGCCATTCCCAGGCACTGGGGATATACAGCTGAACTGGACACAGTCCCTGCCCTCTGGTAGGGGACAGAGTGCCATAGAATTCTTTTACAAATGAAGGAAGACCAGCAGTGCCCGGGTTTTGAAATGGAACCGTGGCAGAAAGGTGTTGCTATTGGGCAGGAAGTCAACCCTCAGCCTAGGCAGAGTATAAGATGGAAGCTGTTGTCCTCTTCCCAGCTGAACTTCAGTCTCACGTGCTTCCCTGAAGAAGAACTTTGATGCAAACTCCTCAGGGTGGGCCATGTGGGAGGTCGGGAGGAAGGGAAACTGCTGTGTGGCTCTACGGCCCCACCCGTTTGGAACTGAGTGGCATCTGGTTTTAGTGAGCGAGGGCAGGACTCCACTGCCGCAGGGCACCTCTCCCCATCACGACAATTCCTCCGTGCACCCGTGCACCCGCTGCTGAGCTCCGGTTCCCGTATGCTGCTACCTGGCCTGTGACCACAGTCCAGGGCCCTGAAGAAAGCTCTGGAAAGGAGCGAGCCCTTTCACTTTCCTCAGGGGTCCCAAGGAGACAGCTGCCAGTCTTGGGAGATCTGGTCTGTCTGTTTTCCTCTGTTCTCAAAGAAGGATGTGTGAACACAGCAGCTACCTGCCATCCCCAGAGTCCCTTGGAGGGTAAAGTCCTCCCTATTCTGTTAAACACACAGGATTGGCTCTAACGTTGGTAGTAAAATCTTCACCATCTGGTTCCATGCATATAATTTTTTTGTCGATTCTCTGACCCTCCAGTGAAGCCAGCTAGTCTCACAGTCTTGCTCCCCTCACATCTGTCTTCTCTGATACATGATGGGCTCCACAGGGCAGGGGTTAGGCGGTCTTGCTTAGTTTAGCCGTGTGTTCTTCATGCTTAGGACAGTGTGGGGACAAAATAGTATTTTGATTGTCAAGTTTGCTCAGCCTAATCAACATTTCTTTGCAGGAGATCTGTCTTTTCTCCCTACTTTGAAGATACTATTGTCGTCTTTTTTTGTTATTATTATTATTTACCTTTATTGTGGTGAAAGCATACACACCAAGACATTCACCAACATAACAGCTTCCCCATTTACAGCTCAGGGACATTGATGACATTTTTCATGTTGCGCCACCATTGTTGCTGTCCTTTTCCAAAATATTCCACCACCATTAGCATAAACTCAGTGCCCCGCAAACAAGAGCCTCCCTCTTCCCCCTCCCTCCTGTCCCAGTAACCACTAATCATCTTTGGGTTTTCTCTCTCTCTCCATATATGTGAGCCTCTGGTGGAGTAGTGGTTAAGGCACTTGGCTGCTAACCAGAAGGACAGAAGAAAGATTGGGCAGTCTGCTTCCATAAAGATTTACAGCCTTGGAAAGATGATGAGGGTTGCTATGTGTCGGAATTGACT